TTGAGGCTTACCAAAAGGCGGTATGCATATTACATGGTATTTCGTTTTGGTTGATTTCCCCCATAGGTTATAAAGAAGGAGTGTAAGACGGACGAAGAACAATTTTGAGATTGTTTAAACCTCCATTTTAATTATCCGTGAATTATGTAAAGGGTAGAAAGGTTTTCAGTATCTACTACACAGTTCATAAATAGACAACATAATCATTACGCTATACCTTCATAAAAAGGATGTTCATGAATGGCAAGTATGCATATATAATCACCCTAAAATTATATTTAAATGTGATTTTGAACGAGGGGAAGAGCAGAATAATAATTGTGATGCATATATAAGTAGAGCCATGTTATATTTGCAGCTGTTTCTAATGATACGTCATTAGTAAAACTATGATATGAATGAACCGGGTTCATCATACACAGCGTAATAAAAATTAGAGTAATTTCACATGTTTGCATAAATGTTGTGTTTTTCTACTTATCACGATATTATCATGAAGTTTTTTAATTACATCTTGCTCTGAAAGACCTTTTAATTGACTGTTAATTAATGCTTTACGGACTAGTGACGGTTTGATTAATTCATTAAGACGCGAATGCACTGTTTAATTGGGCAGAGACATGGTTTACGTGTGACATATGCCCCAAGTAAGCATCGTGCTCCTAAAGAACCATGGCTTGAAAATGAAACAGTAATATAGAGCACCTTAAATTGTGTTTAGTGCAGCATTTTAGTGTATAATGCGTTCATTATACGCAGGCATACGGTAGAGCCATTTGGGAGGCAGTCGTGCAGACTCGACTTGCGAGTTTTTGCAGGTGCCTTTTCAGTGGCAAAGCGTTTGACTTGATATTGCAAGAAACTAGTTGGTCACGGCTTGGCGAGAACAAGTGGGGATTTTCACTTGCCTTCTCGCAAACAAAGAACTCATCATATTTGTTGGAGAAAACGAAATTTCCCCTCTTTTTCCCCCCTCTCACTTGCTTTAAAGGTAATCTGGCTATTTGGTGACAAAATGTATTTTGAGAGCAGCTTCCACTTTCAAAACTCATATAATAATGTAACCCTAAAACAAATGCTCTTATTTTGGCTGATTGCTTTTTAATTAGCAAAATATAAACAAATAAACAAAAACTGCTGAAAACCGTGTTCATTAAAGGTACTAAGGCATATATGCATACCTTGGGCATGGTATTGTATTGTGGATCCAACAGATCTAATTGTTCTATTTTAACGTTTTTATCTGATTTGGTAACCATATTTTTTTAAAGATATATACATTCAGTTCAAGTTTTGCTGCGAATTACAAGTATTTTAAAACTTTTTTTGCCATCACCAAAATTTGAAACAATCTTCAATATTACGTGCATTGGATATAGTATGGTGATGTGTCATGGGTTTATGATATATTTATCAAATACATGTACATTTCCCAAGCATAAAACAATTTGCAAAAGGAAATTATCCGTGTCCAAATTGCCTGTATAGTTTTAACCATATATGCTTTAATTTTTGTCCCATAAAATTACTTTACAACCACGATGCTGGCAAACTAATTTGAACGTTTACACCCTTGTCATACAGGCATTTATTTTTAGGCTACCATTGCACTTTTAGACAGGATATATAGCGGAGAAGAGAAAATAGCCTTAGAGATAAATTTAGTTTATTTTATAGCTCTGACGAAGATAGTTGTGTTGGATAAAAAAAAACCTCAAATAAGTACGTTTTTATGTCTGACATGCATTATCCATGAATACCGCTTAGTAATATACATGCATTTGTAATACTTAGAAGATTAAACCTGTCAGCATTGGTAATTCTGATGACCTGGGACAAAATTAACAATCGCTACTTCAATTACTTATACTAGTTCTACTACCCGTGTTACCCTTGCAGCTGCTATAATGCCTGCACTTATATACCCCACCCCTACATTCCAACTACGTCTTTTGTTGGTCCTGCCGAAACCGTCATGCTTTTAATTCCCTAGTTCGTGTAATTGCCTTAAAGTCTTGGCTAGTATCTCTTGGTCTTGGCTACACATAGGCCGATGGGTTCAACGTGAGATGATGATGATAAAGAAGAAGAAGATGAAGATGAAGACACGTTGCTCTCGTGTGACACGCTTGGCATACCAATAAAGGGCAAGATGATGGTTCGGGGGATGACCTTCAGCCGGGAAGATGAGAAAAACTGCTTGCTCGAGGACTCATCAGCATCAACGCCACCGTCATGTCTAAAGCCATGTAGTCCGACCTACCAACATGTCTCCCATGTCTTTCAAGTATTATAATGTTCTGCTTTTCTATTAAAAACTGTATAATGATGTCGCACCAGGTTTCGAAAAATGCGTTTAAAAATTGAAAGGATAATAAGTTTTCCCCAATATCTTTACAATAACAAGAAATTGAAATAGAGGGGGAGGGGATAGATTTTGTATTGCCCTGTCGTGTTCTAAGACCGACTTTAACTTAATCAAAAATAATGTAGCGGGCCATGTATTATGTGGCTTGAATATGACTGGTAGATGGATGGACGTGCCGTTAGAATGACCAATCAATCATTGGTAAAGTAAACAAATAGTCATCAAAATCAATCATTCAATTAATCGCAATGGCACTAATTCTTTCACTGAATCAATCAAAGGACCAATCAATGAACCAATCAATCATTCAATCAATTAATCAATAGCTTAACCAGACAATTAATCAGTGACCTGAGCGAAGATTCAATCGATTAACAGATTGATAATTAAAAAAAAAAATCTATCTATCAGTCAACCAGACGAAAAATCAATAGAGTACTCAATCCATCACTGGATCAATCTATACATTAATGACAAAGTTTCCCCCACACCCTCAATCGAAATGCACCACAAAATAATATATAGAATAATAATCTATCAATGAATCAATAAATAAATCAACCAACCAAGCAACAAAATCAACCAATCAATCAACCAGTTAGTTAGTCAATCAATCAATCAATCAATCATTAAATTAATCAATCAATCAATCAATTACTCAAGTAATCAATCAATCAATCAGTTTAACCATTTATCCATCCACCAATCAATCAAAATATTGCATTTAGTCAAGTGCGAAACAAATATTTGCGTACCTTTTGCCTTCTTTAGCCATTGACCTCCCCTCTCCCCAATAACAAGACAAAGCCTCAACATATCCCACAATTAAGACTGTGGTCCCTACACAAGACTTGATTTCGGAGATAATTATTTACTGTACTGATATCTATGTTTACCCTATTGTACCGATAATGAGAAAGAAAGATGGTTAATTTCAATTCAATTCACTAATTATGATTATGTCCAACTCCAAACATATTTGAATATCCCCCCCCCCTTAAGCAGTTCCATTGACTAAATGCGCATGATACCGATCATATGCGCCAGAAATAAATATGACATACTCAATATGTGAATCAATTTGTTGAACACAATGGGAAACACAATCTTGATCTAGCAATTTTTATTTCTTTGTTTTTATTTTATTTCTCAAACTTGATTACAAGATAATTGTAACATTTCCTTTACATTGTATAATAACTGTACCTCTTTTCATTTCATAGTCATTCATATTTCAAAGTACTGTAATACTTATAACAAGTTTCTCTTCAGTACTAACTGATGTTGCTGTCATACTTAGCTTGTGTATTCTAAAAGAAATAAACCTTGGACAATTTTGTTATCATAAAAGGTAATAAATAATTCAATATATATCTGAATGTACCATTTGTTTGTATTTGTATTCAAAGAATGGTGACCAGACTAAACCTAACTAAAAACTTTGTTTGTGTTTTTATTATTACTATTCCTATTACTATTATTACTATTCCTCTTAAAGTATACCCCTTGTATTTCCGCCACTGACTCCGCATTACATATTTACCTGTATAATGACATACGCACTCTTACGTAATCTACGGTAGATTCGGAGTTTGTACCGGTTTTTGGTAACGCTTTTAAGTTTATTAACCCTTTGAATGCAAAGCTCCAGGTCACTCGGAGACTCGGAGTTGACCCTGGGGAAAACGTGTTCTAGACCAAAATCAAATTATATTAAAGTATGTACACAAAGGCAATTCCTTATAATTCCAACAACAACCGCTTGATTCACACACAAAATCGTATGCAAATGGCATTATACGGGACGACCTTTTAGTTTTACTTAGTGTTTATGTGTTGTCAAAAGGAATATTATGATAATAATTATATGATAACACATATCAGTGGCAAATATGTTGCAAATAATTTCTGAAATTATGATATATATTACTCTTTTCCAAATTCATCATTTTGTTTAAAATCCTCATTGATATTTTTTTATGTGTTTTAACCGGTCTGAAAAAGACCTTGTCGATTTGTCATTAAAATAATTACTTTACAAATATTGTGACATGTTTAGAAGAAACACAGTTCATGAAGTGTTGATGAATCCCTATGATGTTGGTGCTATTTTGATCTAACGCTGCATATTACATGTAGAAAATTGAATTATAGAATAAATAACACTACAGCATGTATACTGCAAGTCGTAGGACAAGGTTACATTCTTGTCAAAGTGAGAAAAATCCAAGTAATTTGTAATTTTCGTATGCTCTCTCATTGTTTTTATCCTTATTCTTAAGATCATCATAGTAGAGACATGTCATATCAAAGGACTGCTTTTAAAGTGCCCTCATATTTCAAATATAAGTAACATCCAAAAGATTACAATGTTTAAAATATTGATCATAGTTTTGATGCCTGAAGCATGTGTGTGAGAACCATTATCATTTTGTGTAGCGCTTTCCATTGTTGATCGATTGTTGCTTTTTTATGATTATAAAACCTTATATATACATAATCCATTTTATATGCAATATAATCCAAATAATTTCTGGACATTTTTCTGAAATATAATTATGAAATTCAACTGGAGCACCAGGGCCCATTCGCATCTTTCTTGTATGTCAACCAAATTAGGTAATACAATTTTTGAATTAATATGTCAACTATGGCTGCAATCTACATGTATATTGTGTTTAAATTTGAATCGTATGAATCAGAAGACCCTGAAATCTTGTTTACGAAATTATATTAAATGACATATTAAGTTTTACATTTTGCACATTTCTATACTTATATCAAACGAGTAAAATCAGATTTGAATGCCATCACTCGAATTTTCGATTTACAATGACCAACAATACTATGAGTGGCAAAATGTGGCAAGAATACTGGCTGTTATTTAGAGTAAAGCTATCATCCTTCTTCTTCTTATCTTAAGTACTTGACAGTGTTTGAATTATTCATACAGTACATGATTTTTATACAATGAACTTTGAAAAGATATTCTACGTACTATGCTGCTCTCCTGCTCTGTGAAACCTTCCTAAGACTATATAAATAAAAAGTGTTTATCATCTCATGGAGTTGTGCATAGTCATTCAGTTGCAGGTTGAAAACGTCATCTCGAATCACATCACATCCGAATTATTTCCTGAACATTCACAATAAATGTTTTTGTCAATATTTACAACAATCAAAATGAGTCATAACGAGTGTCACAAGTGTGTTAGATGTGGTGTGGCTTCAAGCGATTGTTCTTGTGTACACGAGTAGGAGAATTGACAGTAGGCTGGCGCCCCGCGAAATGACCTGTCGGAGTGGTGCGAGCTACCCGGGTGGAACCCAAAGAGAAACGGCTCGCCGCTGACATGTCCAGCCCGCTCGGCTTGGCGAGCTAGCACAGAGTCTGAGACTTTGATCCCTCGTTCTGCTCGCTCTGTTTCTTTCATATCTCGTTTGTATTTCATTCTTCGATTCTGAAACCAAATTTTAATTTGTCTCTCTGTGAGATTCAAAGATTTTGCCATTTCAACCCGCCGTGGTCGACACAAATAGCGGTTGAAATGAAACTCCTTTTCCAGCTCGACTAGCTGTGCGCTAGTGAAAGCCGTGCGATTTCGCTTCGGACTGCTACCGCCGTTTCCTCCGCTGCATCCGCCGCTGCTTCCCCCGCTCATAGACCCGGAGCTCCCGCTCTCTCTCGGGCTGATGCTGTTGGCGTGGTTACTAAGATTTGGGCTCATCGCGCTACCTTGTGGCACTCCATGCCCGGCTCCTGCTACTACGGCTCCTGGTGCTCCTGCTATAACTGCTCCGCCTCCATGTCCTCCGCTAAGGATTTCATTCGGGATATTAGGTGGACTCTCGCTAGGCGGTACCGCTGGCATAGGCTTCTTTTTATCATCGATTACTAAAAGGAAAAAGAAAGAAAGAGAGAGAGATACATGTTTGAAAAATTATGTTTATTTTATGCACTGAAATTGTCTGAAATATGTATAGTGTATGGCTTGTGGTCGGGTATAAAATAAATATTTACACCAGTTATTGCCGTTTTATAGAACACAATGAAATATCAGGCGAACAGCAATAAACATCGTGACCTTCATCAGTAATATGCAGATTTGATGGTAGCAATTATGTTATATACATGTATTATGCTTCTGACATGTGAGATAAAAACAGCATCATAACCAACAGCAATACCAAAATAATAACAATAATCAAGTATTTCGAAGAAGAAAGAAACAAAGACTATTACTATAATACGAGGACAAATTGAACGAATCGGGGGAGATATTAATGTCTCTAAAGTTAAAATCTTTCTTTAAAAACGTACACGAAAATGTGACGCAATAAAATAGCATTATATCTTAAAAGCAATTATGACAAAGATCGACACATTGATTCTAGGAATAATACATTTCACAGAAAAAAATCTTTAGAAATGGTCAGAAAGAAAGCGAAAAAGAAAGAATGAAAGATGGATTAAAGAGAGAGAGAGAGAGAGAGAGAGATATGGGGATTGTAATCATTTAGTGTTAACAACCTTATAAGTAAATAAATTTACAATTTCCTTATCAGTTTATTATTCCTTCACAATAATATTTTAAAATAGTTTACAATCTATGTTTACCAACACTCTCTCCAACTCTCTTTTTCTCTCTTTCTCTTCCCCCCCCCCTTCTCTCTTTCTCTCTCTCTCTCTCTCTCTCTCTATGAGGTTAAATGAGTCATTAACCCATGCACCGTCAGTCAAATACGTCACACAGTTTTCATCTCAGAGCGGCTTGCTTGACAAATAAAAATACACCATTTGATGTCAAACATGAAAAATGTTTGTGTTACATTTACTAAAGAAAGCCGCTCACTTAATTATTTACATGCATTAATGTTGAACAAATATTATCTTCAGGATGATTATAATGCCTTTATTGACAAAAAAATTAGAATGTATTTATAAAAATGATGCAATTTAAATAGATGAACCAAAACATGGTCACTTAGCCTTGAAACCAAGGAATTAAAATTGAAATAGTAGATTCTTTATTAGATATTTTAAGATATACGTCTGCCGCTTGAATATGACGAGTAAAATTGTAATTTACAAAAAACGAAAACATTTCCCATTTTGTAACAACATTTGATAATGATAATTTTGACTCAGGCTTCATGCAATATTTCTAATTCTTTAGCTTGAATTGGCTCAAAAAGTTTATTCCATTCCAATGACCTTCTTCCTACGATATTTTAGTGATGCATTCATGCATTTATGATCACGACATTTAATGGCGAAAAATGTAAAATTCACAATATATCAATATAGTGTAGAAGGTAAAAACTGGTAGATGATGGAATGAAATTGACGACTGTTCCCATTTATTTCAATCTTTGGTGCCTGCGTTTTATGTATTAAATATTATTTAGGTATTGAATGGGCGATATCCTTTCAATAAAATACCCCAAATAATACAAGATACAAATGCAAAAACAAAAAGTTTTCTGTGTCCATTCCTGTTTTAAATACTCCATGGTAACCGAATGATGAAAATATCACGAAACTATCGCCTGGCAATTTCAAATTACTGTAAGTAAAAACAGCACATTTATATATTCAATGTTAATTCTATAATATATAAAGTGCTTTTTACAAAACATTCAAGTCAATTAATTTCGTGTTTTAGAGCAATTTCTAAATATACAAAACTTTATCGAGCCATTGTATGACTCTACTTATTTATTTATTTATTCAGTTTTATTTAAAAACAGGGTAGTCTTTTCAGTGCCAGGGGCCTGCTTTACAAAAGAGCCCTGTATATACAAAGATTTACAAGAAATACATTGTAGAAAACAAAGACATTATATAAACAACATACCATAAGATAACTAAAACAACTTATCACTTCAACCCTAACCTTTTCAAATTTGGTCTATAAGTATATTTCTTGTGTAGTCGTCGAAGATCAGTGGATCTGTAGTACATTTAACTAATGTGTCAATGAAATATATCACAAATCTGAATCAAATTAGTTTTGCATATACAATTATTTTTTCTTTATCACTTACGTTCACTTGATGTGCTCATAAAATAAATATTTTGTCCCCCTTAAAAAAATATAAGGTTCTAAATGCTAGCTAGTTTAAATTGTCATATTCGTGTCACAATAATCTCTTCGTCAGAATGGAACTAAGGGGTTTACATTCTCTTGGGACGGACCCCACTGATGAAACGTTTTTAAATTTGTAAAAGTAGAGAACAAACCGTGCAAAAATTGGCATTTATCCAATCGATTATTTGATGAACTGAAGAAAAAAACTTTTGAAAAAGTCAGACTGATTTCACATTTCACAGGATTATAAAGTGCATGATGGGGGGAAATAGAATAGTCAACTACTTGCATTTTTCTATCAAACAAGCTCCCAATAAAGTTCTTTAGACTCTAAGAGTTTTTTTCTCACTGTATGTTGATTATGCAGCACTGCGGAACATGACATTGATTTTGTAAACGATGATAAAGGTGGTAGGTATTGTTATGCCACAAAATATATTGTAGTTCCGGTTTCTCGTCATGTATTCTTATTATGAGTAATATTTAAAGTGTTTGCTTAAAAAAATCCTATATCACCATTCGTTATATAGCAAAACGTCGTTTGTTCAAGGGTCGTTCGACAAAACAAACGAACAAACAAGCCATCAAAATTATTATGCTTATTATTTAGTAAATAGGTCAGATTAATGCTTTCTCTTAGTTGATGATAACATTGTTTTGATACTGACTCCTGGCCTATACCGATTAGGTAGTAACTTTTCTTTGTGATTTAAACCGAGGAGTACGATTATGAATAGAGATTATTACTATGATTATGATAGATTTCACATTTTCTCATAACAGCACCCATGACCCATCATGATTTTCCTCAACTCGTATCATGTCATATATTGGATCAAAAGAGAAAGTCAGTCAAAATCAGGTCAATTTCGGAGAAGTGAAGATAAATAAAGGAGAATCAAAAACAAATGTAGGCGTCGCAGGTAAAGGAGGCATGGCGAGCCCAGAATGATTCAAAACATGGGCCTATATAGACATTCCCTTAGGCCGTGCTGGATAACTCGTCACCCCATTACCCCAAGTCCACCTTTCGTTTACTCACGGGCTCGCCCCACTGGCGGCTCGATCCCGTCTTCAAAGAGACTCGTTGAATGATGAGTGTGAGTTTGTACTGTGATGCGTAAATTATTCCATTAATCATTCCCAGGTTGACAGTCTTCTATACTCCGATTGAACCCAACTCTTCCAGAGCAGTAACTAAGGCAATGAGGCAAGGTGATTAGTATTGATAATTAGGGATAATTTTATGCGCTTTTCGAAACGAAGGGGTCTTTTAACACGATTATAATTTAGATTAAATGTACAAAAGACGACAAATTAGCTTAAAAATTGGGTGACATAGACGGGAAGACCTTTACACTTTAATATTTCGTCCAAGGACTTTAATGGGAGAACACGAAAATAATTTAGAGACCTGCCGATTGTTTTTACATTATTTCATTAGTGTTTACCTTTTCTTTGTTTTTCATTCCTTTTACATGCAGAGTAGTTTTTTTCTTTCTTAATTTCTTTCTTTCTTTCTCTCTTTATTTGTTTATTTCATTAGTTTTTCAATTCTTTGTTGATTCATTTCTTTATTTTTTTATTTATTTTTATTTATTTATTTTGTATTCCTTATACAGGATAATCTCTTTAGTACATAAAAACTGTTTAGCAAGAGAGCCCTGTTAGTTTGAGTTAGTTATTAATTTTTAAAGAATCGAACTTTGATTTCCTACTAGAATTATGAAGATATTTGTAATTTATCGAATCAAAATACAATGAATCTGACAAATACACTTCTCAGCGCTTGGGAAATTCCATGAACATTCATATACAGCTATCTGGGGCAGAATTCTCATCTGAAATACAGTAATATAGTTTAAGTTCTCCATTGCTGCACTCTCTTAAACCTACGTCAGCCTGCTAGCAAACCAGAACAAATCAGTTGTACTGAAAATAGAAATGTATGACCTTGGGGTAACGAACAACGTGTATCATTAACATGCACATCATACTTCGGTGCGATTGTTCATTTCCCTCCATGTGCTCTTTCAATCATAGAGATAATGAGAAAATAATTTTCGAGATCTCTCTCTCTCTCGCCCAAAAAGCGAATCGATGGCAGGGTCGAGAGAGCGCGCGAGGGAGTTCGAACGACAGAGGATGACGATGGTAGTAGAGAGAGATAGATAAAGTTAAGAAGAGTGGTGGTGGGGGGAGAGAAGAAGAAGAAGAAAAGAAGAAGAAGAAAAGAAGAAGAAGAATATTAATAATGAGAAGAATAATAGTAACAACAACAATCATAGCAGTAATACTAATGATATCGATAATGATGTTTGTGTAACATTGATATTGGTCTTGATGACAATATGAATGTAACAAATATGGTAAAGGCATGTTTTATTACGTCGAATATAAACAAAACATTTAAGAAAAGAAGATGAAGGGACACCAAACAAAGAAAGATGGGTATAAAGGGAATGTTTTGTGTTCGGGAAAGGGATGGGGGCGGTAGGGGGAAGTATGGGGGGGGGGGGTCAGCGTTTGGAAATGTAGGCTACACCCTTTTAACATACTTATAACCCATAAATGTAATCGTATTCCCAGTGCCATTTTCCTCTTTGTCTTCAGTTCAGGTGGGATAATTGAGGCATGAACAAAATGTAATTTAAAATGAGCGAGAATATGTAAAAACCATCATCGATATTGAATGCGAAAGTGAAAGCTTATGCTGAAATGCGAACTAGTTTCCCCTCGTGATAAAGGTAGATGTATATGCATTTCACCTGACATGCCAATTGTCATTGGTAACATATTTCAA